GTCATTTCAAGGGGGGGTTCTCTGGGCGCGGTGCCCCAACGAGGGGCCAGATTTCCCCCACGAAAGCAAAGTGGGCGTGGTCGAGCTTCAATTTATAGGTTCCAAATGTGGTCCTGGGGGTGAAGCCCCCGAAAATTTTGACAATTCAGGGGTTTCAAAGGCTTATAAAATCGATATTAGAGTCTGCCCCCCCCCCCTGCTGTCGCCACCCCTGGTGGGGTTCAGGTGCCTGGGGCCACGGTGGGGTCGGGGGCGAAGCCAGAGCAGTTTTTTGTGTTTAATGGGTCTATAATAATGTTATAAAAGCAGTTTGGCCTATGTTTTGAAAAAGATCTATGTAATGAAAAGGTGGTAACATAATAAAATTAGAAATTATTTTCTGAGAATTGGCATGTTTAAATCACACCGAAAGATACAAAAAAAAGCTCATCGCATAATCAATATCAATATACTCAACACGTTTATTATTATAAAACAAAAGTAGTAGAGGGCAGTTTGGCATTCGGAAACAGGGGTCGACATTCTGAGTCAGAAATCGGTGGGATTCGCAAAAAAACTGGATTTCGACAAAAGTGAAGTCAGCAATTTGGTCTTGGACAGTTAGTGGCCCTCCCACCCCTGTTACGTTACGACGGAGTTAAAATGGGGGATGGAGTAATCGTGAAAGGACAGTGTTGAAAAACGGAGGTGGGGGGGGGGGGGGCGCAGTAACACGGCCTGCCTCTGTGTCCTCTCCCTGTCACTGCAATATAATTATCAATATTTCTAATCAGAGAGTTAAAATTAACTTAATACTACCACATAAAACTATGTATTGAAGTTCTCCATAATTCATGGAATGGAAATAAAAGAATAGGCCTAGCTGCAAAACTAATGATAGTAAACAAACGAATTGATTATCATTGTCGTTTAATAATCTTGTGAGATCAAGTGAAAGGTGTGAAGGGCGATTAATACATTGGAAAGCCAAGACTAATACATTTTTAAATTCATCTTTTGTTATTTTTCCTAGATTATGGGAACAACTTCCTAATGAAATTAAACAATGTACATCCATTTCGGACTTTTAAGCCCAGCTCACAAAACACTTGATCTCAAAATATTAATACTAATAATAACTATTAATTATCTCTGTTTTTCATTTTGTTATAGTTAAATCAATTTATTTTGAATTTACTTTTTTGTATATATTTATATTGTATTGTCATTGTATTTGTTTTTGGTAATGGAGTAAGAGCAGTTTACTGTTTGGGCTTATGCCTATTACTTACTCCTGGCAAGAATATTGTATGTATACTTTTTACTTTGCCGAATAAATATTATTATTATTAATGTCAACATTTTTTGGAAGTTATTTTATTGCACTAAACCAAACTTTATATATTTATTGATCATTCTGTGTTATTATTTTCAACGTTAAAACAACATTTTTTGTAACAATTTGGTGATGGTCCCTGCCTGAGAAATGTCCAAAATTGTAAACTACTTTTTCAAATAATATTCTTTAAACAGCTGTTCTTTAAACTGATTTTTACGCATTGCTGCCGGCTGAAGTAAATTGCGCATTTCCAAATAATAAAATCCTATGATTATGATTTAAATCATAAATAAGAGTAGTAAATTTCGTGCTGAACAGCACTCTGAACTGTATACAAAAAAGGAAATTGTGCACCACGGTCTACTGATGTAGAAAAAAAAAATTCGGAGTGCAGAGTTGCACTGCACTCCCAACTGTAAAGCGCTCCATTGTCTACTGATTTCGTAAGAACAACAGTCTAGTAATCCACAAGTACCAAAATAAAGTCCAATGAAAGTGATGTGGATGTAGGTCTAGGCAGTGCTCGAAAAAAGTAGTAGTAGTAGTGTTCAGCTTCCTCCAAAAAGAAGCTCAAAACACACGCAAACATTCCGTGCAAGTTAAACGAGAAGTATCCTGTCATTTTGAAATCAAAACCAGGTGATGCCTACACCAATAATACCCAAACACAATGGTACAATCTTTAGGAAAAAATTTAACATACTCCGCTGACGTTGCGAAAACTCCTGTCAAAAGGTTTTCAGACTCCTGTTGTTGGCCTTGTAGGGTTGGCATGCCTGTGGCAGGTTCGAACATAATTGTTCTATTAACTAGCTGAACATAATGAAATTTTCCCCTAGGGAGCTTAGTATGTATGGATACGTTTGACCTGATGACCAGCATATTAATTTGAAGGCCTTGTTAGCATGAAGCACTGTTTAAGACTAAAAAAAAAAAATTATTGAATTTTGCTTATCTGCAGACCTTTGACTACAAAAAGTCTTAAATTAATAACCAGCTATTTTAAAGTATCTAACATTCAGAGTCTATAGGGTGTTCAGGGATAAGGGGTCAAAGGCCATTAAGGGGAAATTTTTATCT